CACAATTTTACTGTTTGACCTATATCGACTTTACTTTGACACTAACAAAAAGCGTGTACTATTAACTCATCGAAACGTTTACGTAATCCCTGTTATTTCAATCTTTTTATCGGTCTCACGCAGTAAAATGATTATCTGACAGCTTTTAAGTTAATTATAACAAATTTCTTTTTCGAATTCCTTAATCTTTACCAGTTCTTTCATTATATTTTACCAATGAACTATTATTCACTTGATAAGTAAAGTTGTTGGTAATGTTAGTCTGTTTTTCCTACCTTAAATATTTTACACTTCTTAGTTAATCATCAAATTACAAATAATTTTCTGTATGTTACTGAAATTTCTCATCCATAGTGTCTGGTAGCAGTAAATGGTGAAATATGTAGCATCAAAGCAACTTTTCTATAATTTTCCATTAAACTACTTCAACCTGAAATCCTAAACAATAATCTCTATTAAAACAGGTTTAGATCATATGAATTAGAATCGAGTTCTGTGTCTCAGTTCAACAGTAATTCTCTTCATATTGTCCAAATGTGAACGATATCTCGGGTCGTACTTCTGTGAAATTCTTCATGCTGCATGTACTCCAATGATATCATGGGAAGCTAACAAGGTTTCTTTGCCACTTAAGTTGAGTAGTATGTCGCCGAACATTGACACTGAGAAATGACTTATGCCCGCTAAAATCCGCTCACCGGTTGGTCCAAATGATCACATGTTCTCAAGATAAATGCATGGATGTTTATCTGTGGATAGCATATTTCGGTATAGTCCGTACATTGTGTCGTTTTTACAGCAAAATACTGGTTCTCGTGTCGAGTTACCAACGCCTGGAACAGACTCCTAGAAGAAGTGGTGTCCGCATCATCAATTGACTCGTTCAGAAGGGGATTGGACAAGCAGAGAAATCTACTGGAAAAGGATTAATGTAGGCTCCCAGCCTCCTATCCTCAAACAACAAAGCTGAAATCTTAAATTATCTTCTTCAAACTATCTTAGTTCATGAACGAATTTAATCTGATATTTGAGTCCTATCTGGTCAATAAAGTTAGACAGTTTTCACTTTCAGAACAGAACCAGCATTTTCTCAAATTTTTCCCCATTTGTAATACGGATAAACTGTAAGTCAGCAGAAGTAGACAAATTTGAAATATGAAATTCCCAACCCATGGGGTTAAATTATTACTTACTTACTGTATGACCTGATGGTTGTAGACTTGAGCGGTTATGATGTTGTGTTTGCTGCCTGCTGGAGAATCTCACACTAGGACAAAACAGCTCAATAATTATTACCAGGTTTTCAACGGTTCTGCAACTGAAATCAGTCCACAATGAACACTACTTCACAACTGAAACGTTATCATCAGTAAATACCTGGCCATGTTTAGAGAAATAATAAAAAGTGCACAATTTCCTCCCATTTTTCAAACAGTCATAAATATACGACATGGAAACTAGTTCATTTGCTTCGGTTACAGTTATCTGAAAGCACTATGAACTAGTTTTTCATAGATCATTTGAATCTCAACGTAATATACTGTTCAATGTCAGGCCTATTTTCTACGTTCATTGTTTAAACTGCAATGTAAAAATTATCTTAAAATAAAACACTTTTCAATCAACATTCTTGTAGAACAGAAGTTGACCATCCTTTGGTATTCACTCTGAGCTAACTCAGTTTTCCTTTGACGAAGTCCTGATAGTAATTTATGGTCTTTAAGATTAACTATATTCACACAAAGGGATGATACCCTTGCACGAAATTAAACAACGGCTACGGCATATCATGAAGTTGGAAAAATATCATCTACTTGGTTTTTATGTAGCCAGTGAACGATCAAATGCTTACTGATAAACATGAATATCCTACCTTTAGTTGTTTCGGTGGTTCCGTATTTCCAGTCCGGAAGTCCTATACTAGGATACTACAGCTTCCTGGCTACATACAAGAGAAAAATGTGGTCAAAGTTGTGTTCTTTCACCTTTATATACTTCAATGATTTTGGAATTCATTCGTTCATAAAATTCAAGATCATTTGCCCTATTGATTTAGTGAACTGATTTCACCGATAGCTTTCCGTTTTCTCGAATAAAGATTTACAGAGCATCTTCAGGTATGAGTTAGACTAGCTTAAGCTTACCTAGAGGTTTCGCTTCCTTTAGGCTGCAAGATATTCACCATTTCATCAAGATTGTCTTTAGCAGTATAAAGTCCCCCGACTTTTATAGCATACTCGCCATTAATGTGCATTTCGCTAAAACTGCTATCAAATATTAGTGCTTATTGTTACATCTCGGATTGTAATTTAAGCGCTTAACATAAAAATATGTGTGATCACAGTACTATGCTTAACACGAGATTCATTTTTATTTTTGTTGTCGTTCAAGGAATAAAAATCTAACTGTCCTTTATTTTTATGATGATATTCTAACTGATTATGATTCTGTACTACCATTTAAACCGTTTTCCATTTTTGGAAACAACTAGCAGAAAGCTAGATTGGTACAAGACCATGTTTACAACGATTCATTAGTGATGATTCGTCGAGTTCCTGAGAACTCCAGCGATATGTGTCATACTTTGGTTTTCTTCTGAATTATTCACTTAGTCTATTTATAATGCATGTCGAGATCTAATTAAGCATAAGTTTTGTGTTATCCATAAGGAGATAAAAACAAGACTGATTTTAGAAACGTTTAGTGTAACTAACACGACTCCATTCATTTCATTGCCTCAGCTATGAAATCCTTACAGATCAGACAAGAATAAACCAGACAATAAAAACTTACATCAATCTTTCGTGTTATCTGTTTTACAAAGGACAATGGCTTATTTTATCTGCTAGATATAGATTTTCAGCAGTTATGATGATATATAGTCATCCAGAGTGAATTTCTGTTACCATATTGTGAAGGATGAACTCCGTGTTTTCAGTCTCAATTTCATTGTAAAAATATTATCTACTTCAAAGTTGACGGTTAAGAAAATAGTAGAATCACTAACTAGTAACTTTGTGTAGTAAAGTAGCTTTTTTGAAGTGTACACTTTTGTTACTAAAATGTGACAGTTTCATTTCACCTTTTCAATTTAATCTCAAACATACCCGGATTACATCCATTAGATATGTGTTAATTAACAGAAAGTTGTAGAATACTTTAAACCTGACATAAAAATGCAAACTTCAGACACATTTGAAGAAACGGTTGAGTAGTTATATAAATAAACTCACAAACAGTGTTTAAAAATTTTGCACCTATATATTTTCCGGTAACTTGGTCCAATGTACTGATTATAAAAGTTCTCGATGTTATAAGTGTTTAGTTTATAACAATACTAAGGTACTCACTAAACACTCATTCTTCTTATAACGCATCACAAGGTCTATTAACTACTGGGAAGTTCTATTCTTTTCCATTTATAACTAAGTGGATACGTAACAAATTTAGGAACTCCATTGACCTCACCCATCTCTCTTTCCATTCTATGGATTATTACAATTATTCAATATCCAACGATATTTTGATGTCAAAGGATGATTGGTATTCGTTTTTTTAAACTAAACTCAATAGTCAATAATGAAATTATTTGAAAACCAGAAGACAATACCTTTCATCAATTCATAAAGAAAACCTTATTTGATAAATATCAATTCATAAAAATTTTTATTGTCTACAATGCAAAAATAACATAATCTGTTTATAAAATAGGCATTACATTTATGGAATATTTGGTGAAATTAAATTTTAAAAAACATTAATTTAAAGTGTACAAAAATGTTGATTCACTGAGAAGTGAAATGGAATGCAAATCCAAAAATGATAAAGTACATTATTAAGTATTAACACTTTCATTAGAAAATGAAGAATATGGCCTTCTTTGATAGAATGTCGTAAGTTTTATCACCGTTGGATTTTCACGAATATTAGTTTGTAATACACAAAAATGATCACACCAATGCCTAACGCTGAACATATAAAAGTGAATATCATCAGCACAATTATACCAGGATGTACTGAAAATAAAAGTGATAAATAGTGAAATTATAAGGCATATTTCAAAGCACCTTTCTATATACGTGTAATAATAATAAAAAGGAATAACGATGAATTTCAGCATACTTCATCTGAGAAATTCAAAAAAAAGCAGTAAAAAGTCAGAGCCACCTCGACATAACAAAACAGTAAGTCATAAAACTTAACAGGAATAACAAAAATGAAATTAAAGAGAGTAATTCAAACTAAAAAAGAAAGAAAATAAAACAACAAAGAAGACACAAGACAAAATAGAGTGGTTAGTTCTCAGGAACACCTCTATATTCATGCTTCGAAACAAAGCCATCTTAGCTCAGAAAGTAAACCATAATAACATACAGACTGAAGAAAAGTGTTGATTAGAAATGCTTACGGGAATTGTTCACTTGAGCCGTTGAGTTAGGTTCTTTCTCGGAGGTCCTGTTTCCTATCAAGTCTTTTTTGCTACTCTTCTCACCTTTGTGTATATTTTTAATCGCAGTTTTATTTTGTGTCCCTTCTGGACTATTTCCAAGTTTACCAACATTGGATTCAATGTAAGGTATTTGCAGTGTGATTAACAATATTACTGGGCGAAGTATACTTTTAATTAATAAATCCATATCGTCTCATGCTAGAATGTGCATCTTGCTGACACTGACCAGAAACACAAACGTATTTCATGATCATTCCGTTTACTGATCTCAGAAATCGGACACCGAGGTACAGTGCACTCCGGTGTTTTGACATACAGTACAGTGACTTCAAGACGAACTTAGTTATGAGACTTCGATCAGTGCCCAGAATTGACAGTTCCACTCCCAATTCGAAAAGCCTGTTTTTACATACACACACACACACACACACACACACACACTCCCATTCATAAGTAACAGTGACTTCTACTGCTAAGGGGTCAGTCAGCTCGCACTGGTGAACATCAGGCACACTGGAAAATCAATTATACCATCAATTCTTCATCAATGTCACAAATCAAATTGTAACTCACCAGTATTGCTTTGAGAAACTGTTAGACTTTTCGGATCCACTGTAGTATCATCGTCCGGTGCCGCACTGGATTTGTCACTTTCAGCTGGTTTCCCGGTTCCCCCCATGACTGATGCTGTTGCTTCTAAATTGACAAGATATGGAGTAGAATAAAATGGAACACCACTACTTCAAAGTGCGAAACATAATCACACCTCTTCTAGAAATGTGCTTTCTATTGTTCTGGTTCTCTCTATTATCAAATGCTAACGCTCTCACATTAATCCAATTATTAGTTGCAGACGTTTTTGAAAGCAGCCTTGCTAACTTACTTGCACCTTCATGTTTTGATTGGAAACTCTACATTTCTGTAAATCAACCCTTTGTTATCTCTGCTTTTGTCTGATTAGTTACGCTCACAATGTATCCAGAGACTTGATGCTGATTGAATCGACTTAGCCACCTTTCCGGTTCTGGGCGGCCAGAATAAAATATGACACCTATGTATGAAGTCTTTGACTGTTGGCTTGAACCATGTGGGGCGATGCAAGTAAGCCGATTGGCGTCTGCGGGACAAGAGAAACCAGTGGTTGGAGACTCTGATACGGCTGAGAACCCAAGTCAGTAGCGCAGATGTGTACACACATTATCCTTTTCTTAACACTATCACAAATCTCACCATTTTCTCATTCTTCCTTTCTCTCTTTTAGTACTTTATATTTCTCTTGACTCAGTTTTCTTTTCTCCATCTTCCATTCCACTGCCTTTTAATTCATGTACTGATATGAGCTGTAGCAACTCGAGCCGTTAAGCATTAATGCCTGCTCCTATGTTGACTTAGATGGAGATGAGATGGACCTTTCTGAACTATGACATTCATTGCATCACGTGGTTGGTAATTTTAGATTTGACAGAATATAATTTTATTTGGAAATGCGTATACCATCGAATCCGAGAGTCAACTAATTTAACAAGATACTTAAACATATTTCCTTTAGCGTGTCAATTTGTCTACTTTACTCTCTTTTAATGGTACCTATCAAATTTCATTTCCATCGCAGAATTTTTTCTGCCTTATCTAATTAATACAATCAAACTAAAAGCCAGATTCACTGTTGTCGTAAATCTTCTCTCCAGTCCTTGATATTGTCAAGTCACTTGGAAAGTTTTAACTGAGATACTCAAACAAAAATTGCTGAAGCAATCGCTTATGATGTTTAATGTGAAAGGAAAAATGAGTGGTTCACTGAATCGCCCCTAATCTATATGATGAATTAAAAAACAGCACACACATGCTCCAAAATAACAAAAGGTCTACTTGTAGAAAATATTTGAAAGATATTAATCGACACACAAAACCTTTACAAGAATAGAGTGGTTAGTTCTCAGGAACACCTCTATATTCATGCTTCGAAACAAAGCCATCTTAGCTCAGAAAGTAAACCATAATAACATACAGACTGAAGAAAAGTGTTGATTAGAAATGCTTACGGGAATTGTTCACTTGAGCCGTTGAGTTAGGTTCTTTCTCGGAGGTCCTGTTTCCTATCAAGTCTTTTTTGCTACTCTTCTCACCTTTGTGTATATTTTTAATCGCAGTTTTATTTTGTGTCCCTTCTGGACTATTTCCAAGTTTACCAACATTGGATTCAATGTAAGGTATTTGCAGTGTGATTAACAATATTACTGGGCGAAGTATACTTTTAATTAATAAATCCATATCGTCTCATGCTAGAATGTGCATCTTGCTGACACTGACCAGAAACACAAACGTATTTCATGATCATTCCGTTTACTGATCTCAGAAATCGGACACCGAGGTACAGTGCACTCCGGTGTTTTGACATACAGTACAGTGACTTCAAGACGAACTTAGTTATGAGACTTCGATCAGTGCCCAGAATTGACAGTTCCACTCCCAATTCGAAAAGCCTGTTTTTACATACACACACACACACACACACACACACACTCCCATTCATAAGTAACAGTGACTTCTACTGCTAAGGGGTCAGTCAGCTCGCACTGGTGAACATCAGGCACACTGGAAAATCAATTATACCATCAATTCTTCATCAATGTCACAAATCAAATTGTAACTCACCAGTATTGCTTTGAGAAACCGTTAGACTTTTCGGATCCACTGTAGTATCATCGTCCGGTGCCGCACTGGATTTGTCACTTTCAGCTGGTTTCCCGGTTCCCCCCATGACTGATGCTGTTGCTTCTAAATTGACAAGATATGGAGTAGAATAAAATGGAACACCACTACTTCAAAGTGCGAAACATAATCACACCTCTTCTAGAAATGTGCTTTCTATTGTTCTGGTTCTCTCTATTATCAAATGCTAACGCTCTCACATTAATCCAATTATTAGTTGCAGACGTTTTTGAAAGCAGCCTTGCTAACTTACTTGCACCTTCATGTTTTGATTGGAAACTCTACATTTCTGTAAATCAGCCCTTTGTTATCTCTGCTTTTGTCTGATTAGTTACGCTCACAATGTATCCAGAGACTTGATGCTGATTGAATCGACTTAGCCACCTTTCCGGTTCTGGGCGGCCAGAATAAAATATGACACCTATGTATGAAGTCTTTGACTGTTGGCTTGAACCATGTGGGGCGATGCAAGTAAGCCGATTGGCGTCTGCGGGACAAGAGAAACCAGTGGTTGGAGACTCTGATACGGCTGAGAACCCAAGTCAGTAGCGCAGATGTGTACACACATTATCCTTTTCTTAACACTATCACAAATCTCACCATTTTCTCATTCTTCCTTTCTCTCTTTTAGTACTTTATATTTCTCTTGACTCAGTTTTCTTTTCTCCATCTTCCATTCCACTGCCTTTTAATTCATGTACTGATATGAGCTGTAGCAACTCGAGCCGTTAAGCATTAATGCCTGCTCCTATGTTGACTTAGATGGAGATGAGATGGACCTTTCTGAACTATGACATTCATTGCATCACGTGGTTGGTAATTTTAGATTTGACAGAATATAATTTTATTTGGAAATGCGTATACCATCGAATCCGAGAGTCAACTAATTTAACAAGATACTTAAACATATTTCCTTTAGCGTGTCAATTTGTCTACTTTACTCTCTTTTAATGGTACCTATCAAATTTCATTTCCATCGCAGAATTTTTTCTGCCTTATCTAATTAATACAATCAAACTAAAAGCCAGATTCACTGTTGTCGTAAATCTTCTCTCCAGTCCTTGATATTGTCAAGTCACTTGGAAAGTTTTAACTGAGATACTCAAACAAAAATTGCTGAAGCAATCGCTTATGATGTTTAATGTGAAAGGAAAAATGAGTGGTTCACTGAATCGCCCCTAATCTATATGATGAATTAAAAAACAGCACACACATGCTCCAAAATAACAAAAGGTCTACTTGTAGAAAATATTTGAAAGATATTAATCGACACACAAAACCTTTACAAGAATAGAGTGGTTAGTTCTCAGGAACACCTCTATATTCATGCTTCGAAACAAAGCCATCTTAGCTCAGAAAGTAAACCATAATAACATACAGACTGAAGAAAAGTGTTGATTAGAAATGCTTACGGGAATTGTTCACTTGAGCCGTTGAGTTAGGTTCTTTCTCGGAGGTCCTGTTTCCTATCAAGTCTTTTTTGCTACTCTTCTCACCTTTGTGTATATTTTTAATCGCAGTTTTATTTTGTGTCCCTTCTGGACTATTTCCAAGTTTACCAACATTGGATTCAATGTAAGGTATTTGCAGTGTGATTAACAATATTACTGGGCGAAGTATACTTTTAATTAATAAATCCATATCGTCTCATGCTAGAATGTGCATCTTGCTGACACTGACCAGAAACACAAACGTATTTCATGATCATTCCGTTTACTGATCTCAGAAATCGGACACCGAGGTACAGTGCACTCCGGTGTTTTGACATACAGTACAGTGACTTCAAGACGAACTTAGTTATGAGACTTCGATCAGTGCCCAGAATTGACAGTTCCACTCCCAATTCGAAAAGCCTGTTTTTACATACACACACACACACACACACACACACACACACACACACTCCCATTCATAAGTAACAGTGACTTCTACTGCTAAGGGGTCAGTCAGCTCGCACTGGTGAACATCAGGCACACTGGAAAATCAATTATACCATCAATTCTTCATCAATGTCACAAATCAAATTGTAACTCACCAGTATTGCTTTGAGAAACCGTTAGACTTTTCGGATCCACTGTAGTATCATCGTCCGGTGCCGCACTGGATTTGTCACTTTCAGCTGGTTTCCCGGTTCCCCCCATGACTGATGCTGTTGCTTCTAAATTGACAAGATATGGAGTAGAATAAAATGGAACACCACTACTTCAAAGTGCGAAACATAATCACACCTCTTCTAGAAATGTGCTTTCTATTGTTCTGGTTCTCTCTATTATCAAATGCTAACGCTCTCACATTAATCCAATTATTAGTTGCAGACGTTTTTGAAAGCAGCCTTGCTAACTTACTTGCACCTTCATGTTTTGATTGGAAACTCTACATTTCTGTAAATCAACCCTTTGTTATCTCTGCTTTTGTCTGATTAGTTACGCTCACAATGTATCCAGAGACTTGATGCTGATTGAATCGACTTAGCCACCTTTCCGGTTCTGGGCGGCCAGAATAAAATATGACACCTATGTATGAAGTCTTTGACTGTTGGCTTGAACCATGTGGGGCGATGCAAGTAAGCCGATTGGCGTCTGCGGGACAAGAGAAACCAGTGGTTGGAGACTCTGATACGGCTGAGAACCCAAGTCAGTAGCGCAGATGTGTACACACATTATCCTTTTCTTAACACTATCACAAATCTCACCATTTTCTCATTCTTCCTTTCTCTCTTTTAGTACTTTATATTTCTCTTGACTCAGTTTTCTTTTCTCCATCTTCCATTCCACTGCCTTTTAATTCATGTACTGATATGAGCTGTAGCAACTCGAGCCGTTAAGCATTAATGCCTGCTCCTATGTTGACTTAGATGGAGATGAGATGGACCTTTCTGAACTATGACATTCATTGCATCACGTGGTTGGTAATTTTAGATTTGACAGAATATAATTTTATTTGGAAATGCGTATACCATCGAATCCGAGAGTCAACTAATTTAACAAGATACTTAAACATATTTCCTTTAGCGTGTCAATTTGTCTACTTTACTCTCTTTTAATGGTACCTATCAAATTTCATTTCCATCGCAGAATTTTTTCTGCCTTATCTAATTAATACAATCAAACTAAAAGCCAGATTCACTGTTGTCGTAAATCTTCTCTCCAGTCCTTGATATTGTCAAGTCACTTGGAAAGTTTTAACTGAGATACTCAAACAAAAATTGCTGAAGCAATCGCTTATGATGTTTAATGTGAAAGGAAAAATGAGTGGTTCACTGAATCGCCCCTAATCTATATGATGAATTAAAAAACAGCACACACATGCTCCAAAATAACAAAAGGTCTACTTGTAGAAAATATTTGAAAGATATTAATCGACACACAAAACCTTTACAAGAATAGAGTGGTTAGTTCTCAGGAACACCTCTATATTCATGCTTCGAAACAAAGCCATCTTAGCTCAGAAAGTAAACCATAATAACATACAGACTGAAGAAAAGTGTTGATTAGAAATGCTTACGGGAATGGTTCACTTGAGCCGTTGAGTTAGGTTCTTTCTCGGAGGTCCTGTTTCCTATCAAGTCTTTTTTGCTACTCTTCTCACCTTTGTGTATATTTTTAATCGCAGTTTTATTTTGTGTCCCTTCTGGACTATTTCCAAGTTTACCAACATTGGATTCAATGTAAGGTATTTGCAGTGTGATTAACAATATTACTGGGCGAAGTATACTTTTAATTAATAAATCCATATCGTCTCATGCTAGAATGTGCATCTTGCTGACACTGACCAGAAACACAAACGTATTTCATGATCATTCCGTTTACTGATCTCAGAAATCGGACACCGAGGTACAGTGCACTCCGGTGTTTTGACATACAGTACAGTGACTTCAAGACGAACTTAGTTATGAGACTTCGATCAGTGCCCAGAATTGACAGTTCCACTCCCAATTCGAAAAGCCTGTTTTTACATACACACACACACACACACACACACACACACACTCCCATTCATAAGTAACAGTGACTTCTACTGCTAAGGGGTCAGTCAGCTCGCACTGGTGAACATCAGGCACACTGGAAAATCAATTATACCATCAATTCTTCATCAATGTCACAAATCAAATTGTAACTCACCAGTATTGCTTTGAGAAACCGTTAGACTTTTCGGATCCACTGTAGTATCATCGTCCGGTGCCGCACTGGATTTGTCACTTTCAGCTGGTTTCCCGGTTCCCCCCATGACTGATGCTGTTGCTTCTAAATTGACAAGATATGGAGTAGAATAAAATGGAACACCACTACTTCAAAGTGCGAAACATAATCACACCTCTTCTAGAAATGTGCTTTCTATTGTTCTGGTTCTCTCTATTATCAAATGCTAACGCTCTCACATTAATCCAATTATTAGTTGCAGACGTTTTTGAAAGCAGCCTTGCTAACTTACTTGCACCTTCATGTTTTGATTGGAAACTCTACATTTCTGTAAATCAACCCTTTGTTATCTCTGCTTTTGTCTGATTAGTTACGCTCACAATGTATCCAGAGACTTGATGCTGATTGAATCGACTTAGCCACCTTTCCGGTTCTGGGCGGCCAGAATAAAATATGACACCTATGTATGAAGTCTTTGACTGTTGGCTTGAACCATGTGGGGCGATGCAAGTAAGCCGATTGGCGTCTGCGGGACAAGAGAAACCAGTGGTTGGAGACTCTGATACGGCTGAGAACCCAAGTCAGTAGCGCAGATGTGTACACACATTATCCTTTTCTTAACACTATCACAAATCTCACCATTTTCTCATTCTTCCTTTCTCTCTTTTAGTACTTTATATTTCTCTTGACTCAGTTTTCTTTTCTCCATCTTCCATTCCACTGCCTTTTAATTCATGTACTGATATGAGCTGTAGCAACTCGAGCCGTTAAGCATTAATGCCTGCTCCTATGTTGACTTAGATGGAGATGAGATGGACCTTTCTGAACTATGACATTCATTGCATCACGTGGTTGGTAATTTTAGATTTGACAGAATATAATTTTATTTGGAAATGCGTATACCATCGAATCCGAGAGTCAACTAATTTAACAAGATACTTAAACATATTTCCTTTAGCGTGTCAATTTGTCTACTTTACTCTCTTTTAATGGTACCTATCAAATTTCATTTCCATCGCAGAATTTTTTCTGCCTTATCTAATTAATACAATCAAACTAAAAGCCAGATTCACTGTTGTCGTAAATCTTCTCTCCAGTCCTTGATATTGTCAAGTCACTTGGAAAGTTTTAACTGAGATACTCAAACAAAAATTGCTGAAGCAATCGCTTATGATGTTTAATGTGAAAGGAAAAATGAGTGGTTCACTGAATCGCCCCTAATCTATATGATGAATTAAAAAACAGCACACACATGCTCCAAAATAACAAAAGGTCTACTTGTAGAAAATATTTGAAAGATATTAATCGACACACAAAACCTTTACAAGAATAGAGTGGTTAGTTCTCAGGAACACCTCTATATTCATGCTTCGAAACAAAGCCATCTTAGCTCAGAAAGTAAACCATAATAACATACAGACTGAAGAAAAGTGTTGATTAGAAATGCTTACGGGAATGGTTCACTTGAGCCGTTGAGTTAGGTTCTTTCTCGGAGGTCCTGTTTCCTATCAAGTCTTTTTTGCTACTCTTCTCACCTTTGTGTATATTTTTAATCGCAGTTTTATTTTGTGTCCCTTCTGGACTATTTCCAAGTTTACCAACATTGGATTCAATGTAAGGTATTTGCAGTGTGATTAACAATATTACTGGGCGAAGTATACTTTTAATTAATAAATCCATATCGTCTCATGCTAGAATGTGCATCTTGCTGACACTGACCAGAAACACAAACGTATTTCATGATCATTCCGTTTACTGATCTCAGAAATCGGACACCGAGGTACAGTGCACTCCGGTGTTTTGACATACAGTACAGTGACTTCAAGACGAACTTAGTTATGAGACTTCGATCAGTGCCCAGAATTGACAGTTCCACTCCCAATTCGAAAAGCCTGTTTTTACATACACACACACACACACACACACACTCCCATTCATAAGTAACAGTGACTTCTACTGCTAAGGGGTCAGTCAGCTCGCACTGGTGAACATCAGGCACACTGGAAAATCAATTATACCATCAATTCTTCATCAATGTCACAAATCAAATTGTAACTCACCAGTATTGCTTTGAGAAACCGTTAGACTTTTCGGATCCACTGTAGTATCATCGTCCGGTGCCGCACTGGATTTGTCACTTTCAGCTGGTTTCCCGGTTCCCCCCATGACTGATGCTGTTGCTTCTAAATTGACAAGATATGGAGTAGAATAAAATGGAACACCACTACTTCAAAGTGCGAAACATAATCACACCTCTTCTAGAAATGTGCTTTCTATTGTTCTGGTTCTCTCTATTATCAAATGCTAACGCTCTCACATTAATCCAATTATTAGTTGCAGACGTTTTTGAAAGCAGCCTTGCTAACTTACTTGCACCTTCATGTTTTGATTGGAAACTCTACATTTCTGTAAATCAACCCTTTGTTATCTCTGCTTTTGTCTGATTAGTTACGCTCACAATGTATCCAGAGACTTGATGCTGATTGAATCGACTTAGCCACCTTTCCGGTTCTGGGCGGCCAGAATAAAATATGACACCTATGTATGAAGTCTTTGACTGTTGGCTTGAACCATGTGGGGCGATGCAAGTAAGCCGATTGGCGTCTGCGGGACAAGAGAAACCAGTGGTTGGAGACTCTGATACGGCTGAGAACCCAAGTCAGTAGCGCAGATGTGTACACACATTATCCTTTTCTTAACACTATCACAAATCTCACCATTTTCTCATTCTTCCTTTCTCTCTTTTAGTACTTTATATTTCTCTTGACTCAGTTTTCTTTTCTCCATCTTCCATTCCACTGCCTTTTAATTCATGTACTGATATGAGCTGTAGCAACTCGAGCCGTTAAGCATTAATGCCTGCTCCTATGTTGACTTAGATGGAGATGAGATGGACCTTTCTGAACTATGACATTCATTGCATCACGTGGTTGGTAATTTTAGATTTGACAGAATATAATTTTATTTGGAAATGCGTATACCATCGAATCCGAGAGTCAACTAATTTAACAAGATACTTAAACATATTTCCTTTAGCGTGTCAATTTGTCTACTTTACTCTCTTTTAATGGTACCTATCAAATTTCATTTCCATCGCAGAATTTTTTCTGCCTTATCTAATTAATACAATCAAACTAAAAGCCAGATTCACTGTTGTCGTAAATCTTCTCTCCAGTCCTTGATATTGTCAAGTCACTTGGAAAGTTTTAACTGAGATACTCAAACAAAAATTGCTGAAGCAATCGCTTATGATGTTTAATGTGAAAGGAAAAATGAGTGGTTCACTGAATCGCCCCTAATCTATATGATGAATTAAAAAACAGCACACACATGCTCCAAAATAACAAAAGGTCTACTTGTAGAAAATATTTGAAAGATATTAATCGACACACAAAACCTTTACAAGAATAGAGTGGTTAGTTCTCAGGAACACCTCTATATTCATGCTTCGAAACAAAGCCATCTTAGCTCAGAAAGTAAACCATAATAACATACAGACTGAAGAAAAGTGTTGATTAGAAATGCTTACGGGAATGGTTCACTTGAGCCGTTGAGTTAGGTTCTTTCTCGGAGGTCCTGTTTCCTATCAAGTCTTTTTTGCTACTCTTCTCACCTTTGTGTATATTTTTAATCGCAGTTTTATTTTGTGTCCCTTCTGGACTATTTCCAAGTTTACCAACATTGGATTCAATGTAAGGTATTTGCAGTGTGATTAACAATATTACTGGGCGAAGTATACTTTTAATTAATAAATCCATATCGTCTCATGCTAGAATGTGCATCTTGCTGACACTGACCAGAAACACAAACGTATTTCATGATCATTCCGTTTACTGATCTCAGAAATCGGACACCGAGGTACAGTGCACTCCGGTGTTTTGACATACAGTACAGTGACTTCAAGACGAACTTAGTTATGAGACTTCGATCAGTGCCCAGAATTGACAGTTCCACTCCCAATTCGAAAAGCCTGTTTTTACATACACACACACACACACACACACACACACACACTCCCATTCATAAGTAACAGTGACTTCTACTGCTAAGGGGTCAGTCAGCTCGCACTGGTGAACATCAGGCACACTGGAAAATCAATTATACCATCAATTCTTCATCAATGTCACAAATCAAATTGTAACTCACCAGTATTGCTTTGAGAAACCGTTAGACTTTTCGGATCCACTGTAGTATCATCGTCCGGTGCCGCACTGGATTTGTCACTTTCAGCTGGTTTCCCGGTTCCCCCCATGACTGATGCTGTTGCTTCTAAATTGACAAGATATGGAGTAGAATAAAATGGAACACCACTACTTCAAAGTGCGAAACATAATCACACCTCTTCTAGAAATGTGCTTTCTATTGTTCTGGTTCTCTCTATTATCAAATGCTAACGCTCTCACATTAATCCAATTATTAGTTGCAGACGTTTTTGAAAGCAGCCTTGCTAACTTACTTGCACCTTCATGTTTTGATTGGAAACTCTACATTTCTGTAAATCAACCCTTTGTTATCTCTGCTTTTGTCTGATTAGTTACGCTCACAATGTATCCAGAGACTTGATGCTGATTGAATCGACTTAGCCACCTTTCCGGTTCTGGGCGGCCAGAATAAAATATGACACCTATGTATGAAGTCTTTGACTGTTGGCTTGAACCATGTGGGGCGATGCAAGTAAGCCGATTGGCGTCTGCGGGACAAGAGAAACCAGTGGTTGGAGACTCTGATACGGCTGAGAACCCAAGTCAGTAGCGCAGATGTGTACACACATTATCCTTTTCTTAACACTATCACAAATCTCACCATTTTCTCATTCTTCCTTTCTCTCTTTTAGTACTTTATATTTCTCTTGACTCAGTTTTCTTTTCTCCATCTTCCATTCCACTGCCTTTTAATTCATGTACTGATATGAGCTGTAGCAACTCGAGCCGTTAAGCATTAATGCCTGCTCCTATGTTGACTTAGATGGAGATGAGATGGACCTTTCTGAACTATGACATTCATTGCATCACGTGGTTGGTAATTTTAGATTTGACAGAATATAATTTTATTTGGAAATGCGTATACCATCGAATCCGAGAGTCAACTAATTTAACAAGATACTTAAACATATTTCCTTTAGCGTGTCAATTTGTCTACTTTACTCTCTTTTAATGGTACCTATCAAATTTCATTTCCATCGCAGAATTTTTTCTGCCTTATCTAATTAATACAATCAAACTAAAAGCCAGATTCACTGTTGTCGTAAATCTTCTCTCCAGTCCTTGATATTGTCAAGTCACTTGGAAAGTTTTAACTGAGATACTCAAACAAAAATTGCTGAAGCAATCGCTTATGATGTTTAATGTGAAAGGAAAAATGAGTGGTTCACTGAATCGCCCCTAATCTATATGATGAATTAAAAAACAGCACACACATGCTCCAAAATAACAAAAGGTCTACTTGTAGAAAATATTTGAAAGATATTAATCGACACACAAAACCTTTACAAGAATAGAGTGGTTAGTTCTCAGGAACACCTCTATATTCATGCTTCGAAACAAAGCCATCTTAGCTCAGAAAGTAAACCATAATAACATACAGACTGAAGAAAAGTGTTGATTAGAAATGCTTACGGGAATGGTTCACTTGAGCCGTTGAGTTAGGTTCTTTCTCGGAGGTCCTGTTTCCTATCAAGTCTTTTTTGCTACTCTTCTCACCTTTGTGTATATTTTTAATCGCAGTTTTATTTTGTGTCCCTTCTGGACTATTTCCAAGTTTACCAACATTGGATTCAATGTAAGGTATTTGCAGTGTGATTAACAATATTACTGGGCGAAGTATACTTTTAATTAATAAATCCATATCGTCTCATGCTAGAATGTGCATCTTGCTGACACTGACCAGAAACACAAACGTATTTCATGATCATTCCGTTTACTGATCTCAGAAATCGGACACCGAGGTACAGTGCACTCCGGTGTTTTGACATACAGTACAGTGACTTCAAGACGAACTTAGTTATGAGACTTCGATCAGTGCCCAGAATTGACAGTTCCACTCCCAATTCGAAAAGCCTGTTTTTACATACACACACACACACACACACACACACACACTCCCATTCATATGTAACAGTGACTTCTACTGCTAAGGGGTCAGTCAGCTCGCACTGGTGAACATCAGGCACACTGGAAAATCAATTATACCATCAATTCTTCATCAATGTCACAAATCAAATTGTAACTCACCAGTATTGCTTTGAGAAACCGTTAGACTTTTCGGATCCACTGTAGTATCATCGTCCGGTGCCGCACTGGATTTGTCACTTTCAGCTGGTTTCCCGGTTCCCCCCATGACTGATGCTGTTGCTTCTAAATTGACAAGATATGGAGTAGAATAAAATGGAACACCACTACTTCAAAGTGCGAAACATAATCACACCTCTTCTAGAAATGTGCTTTCTATTGTTCTGGTTCTCTCTATTATCAAATGCTAACGCTCTCACATTAATCCAATTATTAGTTGCAGACGTTTTTGAAAGCAGCCTTGCTAACTTACTTGCACCTTCATGTTTTGATTGGAAACTCTACATTTCTGTAAATCAACCCTTTGTTATCTCTGCTTTTGTCTGATTAGTTACGCTCACAATGTATCCAGAGACTTGATGCTGATTGAATCGACTTAGCCACCTTTCCGGTTCTGGGCGGCCAGAATAAAATATGACACCTATGTATGAAGTCTTTGACTGTTGGCTTGAACCATGTGGGGCGATGCAAGTAAGCCGATTGGCGTCTGCGGGACAAGAGAAACCAGTGGTTGGAGACTCTGATACGGCTGAGAACCCAAGTCAGTAGCGCAGATGTGTACACACATTATCCTTTTCTTAACACTATCACAAATCTCACCATTTTCTCATTCTTCCTTTCTCTCTTTTAGTACTTTATATTTCTCTTGACTCAGTTTTCTTTTCTCCATCTTCCATTCCACTGCCTTTTAATTCATGTACTGATATGAGCTGTAGCAACTCGAGCCGTTAAGCATTAATGCCTGCTCCTATGTTGACTTAGATGGAGATGAGATGGACCTTTCTGAACTATGACATTCATTGCATCACGTGGTTGGTAATTTTAGATTTGACAGAATATAATTTTATTTGGAAATGCGTATACCATCGAATCCGAGAGTCAACTAAGTTAACAAGATACTTAAACATATTTCCTTTAGCGTGTCAATTTGTCTACTTTACTCTCTTTTAATGGTACCTATCAAATTTCATTTCCATCGCAGAATTTTTTCTGCCTTATCTAATTAATACAATCAAACTAAAAGCCAGATTCACTGTTGTCGTAAATCTTCTCTCCAGTCCTTGATATTGTCAAGTCACTTGGAAAGTTTTAACTGAGATACTCAAACAAAAATTGCTGAAGCAATCGCTTATGATGTTTAATGTGAAAGGAAAAATGAGTGGTTCACTGAATCGCCCCTAATCTATATGATGAATTAAAAAACAGCACACACATGCTCCAAAATAACAAAAGGTCTACTTGTAGAAAATATTTGAAAGATATTAATCGACACACAAAACCTTTACAAGAATAGAGTGGTTAGTTCTCAGGAACACCTCTATATTCATGCTTCGAAACAAAGCCATCTTAGCTCAGAAAGTAAACCATAATAACATACAGACTGAAGAAAAGTGTTGATTAGAAATGCTTACGGGAATGGTTCACTTGAGCCGTTGAGTTAGGTTCTTTCTCGGAGGTCCTGTTTCCTATCAAGTCTTTTTTGCTACTCTTCTCACCTTTGTGTATATTTTTAATCGCAGTTTTATTTTGTGTCCCTTCTGGACTATTTCCAAGTTTACCAACATTGGATTCAATGTAAGGTATTTGCAGTGTGATTAACAATATTACTGGGCGAAGTATACTTTTAATTAATAAATCCATATCGTCTCATGCTAGAATGTGCATCTTGCTGACACTGACCAGAAACACAAACGTATTTCATGATCATTCCGTTTACTGATCTCAGAAATCGGACACCGAGGTACAGTGCACTCCGGTGTTTTGACATACAGTACAGTGACTTCAAGACGAACTTAGTTATGAGACTTCGATCAGTGCCCAGAATTGACAGTTCCACTCCCAATTCGAAAAGCCTGTTTTTACATACACACACACACACACACACACACTCCCATTCATAAGTAACAGTGACTTCTACTGCTAAGGGGTCAGTCAGCTCGCACTGGTGAACATCAGGCACACTGGAAAATCAATTATACCATCAATTCTTCATCAATGTCACAAATCAAATTGTAACTCACCAGTATTGCTTTGAGAAACCGTTAGACTTTTCGGATCCACTGTAGTATCATCGTCCGGTGCCGCACTGGATTTGTCACTTTCAGCTGGTTTCCCGGTTCCCCCCATGACTGATGCTGTTGCTTCTAAATTGACAAGATATGGAGTAGAATAAAATGGAACACCACTACTTCAAAGTGCGAAACATAATCACACCTCTTCTAGAAATGTGCTTTCTATTGTTCTGGTTCTCTCTATTATCAAATGCTAACGCTCTCACATTAATCCAATTATTAGTTGCAGACGTTTTTGAAAGCAGCCTTGCTAACTTACTTGCACCTTCATGTTTTGATTGGAAACTCTACATTTCTGTAAATCAACCCTTTGTTATCTCTGCTTTTGTCTGATTAGTTACGCTCACAATGTATCCAGAGACTTGATGCTGATTGAATCGACTTAGCCACCTTTCCGGTTCTGGGCGGCCAGAATAAAATATGACACCTATGTATGAAGTCTTTGACTGTTGGCTTGAACCATGTGGGGCGATGCAAGTAAGCCGATTGGCGTCTGCGGGACAAGAGAAACCAGTGGTTGGAGACTCTGATACGGCTGAGAACCCAAGTCAGTAGCGCAGATGTGTACACACATTATCCTTTTCTTAACACTATCACAAATCTCACCATTTTCTCATTCTTCCTTTCTCTCTTTTAGTACTTTATATTTCTCTTGACTCAGTTTTCTTTTCTCCATCTTCCATTCCACTGCCTTTTAATTCATGTACTGATATGAGCTGTAGCAACTCGAGCCGTTAAGCATTAATGCCTGCTCCTATGTTGACTTAGATGGAGATGAGATGGACCTTTCTGAACTATGACATTCATTGCATCACGTGGTTGGTAATTTTAGATTTGACAGAATATAATTTTATTTGGAAATGCGTATACCATCGAATCCGAGAGTCAACTAATTTAACAAGATACTTAAACATATTTCCTTTAGCGTGTCAATTTGTCTACTTTACTCTCTTTTAATGGTACCTATCAAATTTCATTTCCATCGCAGAATTTTTTCTGCCTTATCTAATTAATACAATCAAACTAAAAGCCAGATTCACTGTTGTCGTAAATCTTCTCTCCAGTCCTTGATATTGTCAAGTCACTTGGAAAGTTTTAACTGAGATACTCAAACAAAAATTGCTGAAGCAATCGCTTATGATGTTTAATGTGAAAGGAAAAATGAGTGGTTCACTGAATCGCCCCTAATCTATATGATGAATTAAAAAACAGCACACACATGCTCCAAAATAACAAAAGGTCTACTTGTAGAAAATATTTGAAAGATATTAATCGACACACAAAACCTTTACAAGAATAGAGTGGTTAGTTCTCAGGAACACCTCTATATTCATGCTTCGAAACAAAGCCATCTTAGCTCAGAAAGTAAACCATAATAACATACAGACTGAAGAAAAGTGTTGATTAGAAATGCTTACGGGAATGGTTCACTTGAGCCGTTGAGTTAGGTTCTTTCTCGGAGGTCCTGTTTCCTATCAAGTCTTTTTTGCTACTCTTCTCACCTTTGTGTATATTTTTAATCGCAGTTTTATTTTGTGTCCCTTCTGGACTATTTCCAAGTTTACCAACATTGGATTCAATGTAAGGTATTTGCAGTGTGATTAACAATATTACTGGGCGAAGTATACTTTTAATTAATAAATCCATATCGTCTCATGCTAGAATGTGCATCTTGCTGACACTGACCAGAAACACAAACGTATTTCATGATCATTCCGTTTACTGATCTCAGAAATCGGACACCGAGGTACAGTGCACTCCGGTGTTTTGACATACAGTACAGTGACTTCAAGACGAACTTAGTTATGAGACTTCGATCAGTGCCCAGAATTGACAGTTCCACTCCCAATTCGAAAAGCCTGTTTTTACATACACACACACACACACACACACACACACTCCCATTCATAAGTAACAGTGACTTCTACTGCTAAGGGGTCAGTCAGCTTGCACTGGTGAACATCAGGCACACTGGAAAATCAATTATACCATCAATTCTTCATCAATGTCACAAATCAAATTGTAACTCACCAGTATTGCTTTGAGAAACCGTTAGACTTTTCGGATCCACTGTAGTATCATCGTCCGGTGCCGCACTGGATTTGTCAGTTTTCGCTGTTTCATCGCTTCGGCTTTTCGCTTTTTCATTTTCTTCTGATTTGCTTTTGTGTGATGTGGTGATCTTTTGAATATCGCCTTTCGTTTGTTTTTCGTTTGCAGCGTCGTTTTCTTTCGCCTTTTCGGTTTTTCCTTGTTTTCCTTCTTTGGTTTCTATGTAGGTCATTTGCAGTGTGATTAAAAATATTAGTGAATAAAATAATTTTTTTTCGCTGAACCTGAAATGTAAATTTTTTTTCACTAACTGAATTTACTCACATTTCTGGATGTCAGGTCTTTGCTGAATTTGTAACAATGGTATTCGCCGATCTGATACTTTTCAGTTAATGCCTTTTCAGACACTTTGAGTAGTCCGCCTAATTTCACACATAAGATAACACTTTCGTATTATGCCGTTTAATTTTTTTTGGCTGAATTTAGACATATACAATGTTATTTCTTACAGAAAAGTTTTGAGAATTGTTTTGATTACATTGATTGGGAAATGGCAATTTCATGCTGTCTAGTCTGGTGTCGACCAAAGTCTATCAATCATTTTTTAATGCTGTCACCAGGCTGAAACTTAGCATTACAAACCACCATGATTAGTGTTCGTTGACTGAAAGTCTGTGACAAGAAACTCGACCCAGCTTTTGTCTCCGCTAATACTCGTTACAAGGGTAACCTCTAGGGAACTGACTACCGTTGTGAGATTTAAGTCTACGTCACCTAGTTTTGAGGCCGAATATTTTATTGCATGGCTGTTCATACCGCTACTGTCCTTCAGTAGGACTACATTCAATTCTGTTCTTTTTTAGGATATTAGCATTCCGTTCGACTGTGTCTAGTACATTTCTATTCTATGAATGACAGATTCAGACAGCAACTGTTTCTTAAGTGGCATTTAAATGCTTTGGTTAACCCTTCAATAGAAGCAGAAATTGATCATGAATGAACAGACATTTAGCTGATTGGTAGTAAGTGTAATTCAAATGGATCTTACACACAAAGTTATTATTCAGTCAACGTCATAGGAAAACGTGGTTGACTTATATCTTGAATAACAACTAATGCATAATGCAAATATTTATCATAAACACAAATTTGTACTATTTTAGGAGTATATTGTATGGCTAATTGGGTAACTATCAAATAATCTCTTGACTCTAACACAAAGCTAATCTGTACAAAATAGATTTATGTCAAACGTAAGGTAGTTGTATTCAATAAACAGGAAATTACTCTTAACTTAAAACTTTTATACGTTGTTGCAGGATTCACTACGAGGTTTACCCAAAGTAAAAATCTTGAACAATCAATAGTGCAGTAACCAAAAATACTGAAGCTTCCATTTAGTATCTCGTTCAAAATGTCAATCCGCTATGAGGTGGAGCACTGCTCCAATTTGAACACACCAAGTTAAAATAGCAACAAAGTGTCACCAAACTTCGTCTTGATGAAGTTTATAGAATAGTCAAAACGTCATAAGGCATCTAAAGTTATATTTAGGAATGAAAATTAAACCTAAGGCAGTAAGGGGAAGGATGACTAACTTGTGGTTGACAACATGAATAAAGTAAAACCATCTGCTTATAGAAATGCAAAATTACTCAAACTAAGAAATATGACAAATGAATAAAAGAAAATTATTCCGTCTAAAACAATGAGATTACGAATACTACATTACTAATAGTTGACAAATCAAAGCAGATTGTCAATCTTGTAACTAAAGTCCCATGCTAGACAGAATCAAAAGTATCAAAGAAGGACTTTAACTTCAAGGTAGTGGTTGGTGAACTGAAACCTGAAAATATCATTTCCAATACAGAAATAGTATTAAGCTAAGTAGATAAGACAGTTACAGACGAGACATGATTACAGTAAGCATAATAATAATAATAATAATAATAATAATAATAATAAGGTTTTTTGAAATGATAACAATATATTTATTACTAAATCAGATAAAAGTAAATCAGTGATTGTGTTTAACAAATCTGATTGCATTTTTCCTCACGTAAAGGCATAAAGAAACGTAAACATATGAGAAAATGTACAAAGTCAATGGATACTAATATGAATCAGTTTAAGGAATCCAATAGCGGATCTAATACTCTGAATGTTTCCACTTCTAGATTTATCAAAAAAATTTAATTTGTTGCTGAAGGTAGAATTCATGCTAATATTAAAATTCATAATCTAGATACCATAGTCAAACGTGTATTAGATGATAACAACACTCCAACTTATGAACTAATTAAATGTTCAGCAATCGTTTTATAGCCTGTTAGAATAACTTGTAGAATAAAATGCATAATGTACAACTAGACAACAGTGAAAAATGATTAGTTTTGATGTAAATAGCTTTTACATCAATTTACGCATCGATATGTCACTGAAAGCATTTAAAGATGAACTCAGTAATGACCATGAGCTTATTCTTCAAACACAGAGATCAAGTGAAGAAATCACGCTACAGTTACGCTTATCTGAGGTATACAAATTTTCAGTTTCGAAATGAAATACATAAACCAACAGAAGAGGTTACAATATGATCACAAATATCGCTTATCAATGCACATATGTTTACCTATAGTTCAGGACGGATAGTCCCTGGCACATATAGTCCTTCTTCGATATTATAGCCTATATATATATTAGTAACATCTTTGCATTAATAAAATTGCAACTTATAGTTGGACTGTTTGCACACATAGGTGTACTGATTAACGCTATTCAACTTACCTACCAATTAGAAGATATGAAGGGGTGCTAGTTATTTTATGTTACAATATAAGAGAAAAACAATATGAAACCTGGGACACTATTGTCACTCTTCAAACTTCTGATCATTTTACCTTATGTCAGCTGAAAAAAAGCCAGTGAATGTGTTGGAAACAAGACAAATGAGGTAGCAAAACAGGACAGAGAACCCAGGATAGAAGGCTAGACACACTACCTTACACCAACCTAAATTTACCACCAAATTCAAACAAATTCGTAAAATAAGTGTTAACATTACTAATGATAATGATATTATCATTGAGACTGTAATGAAAGAATTCAAACTACTACGGTGTTACTGTACAAGAAAGGTATCTCAAAGACATTAGGTAGAATTATCAACAAGACACTGATTAAAATTGCATTTAAACCTGCAAATTTACTCAGAAACAAGCTTTGTAAGCTCAAAGATCCAATTGATCCAATTATGTAAAATGATTTAGTTTGCCAAATCCCTTTCAATAATTGCGAGGTCACTTACACAGATCAGTACGAGCTACCGGGAACCATTAGGGGATCCCAGCACAAAAACGTAGCCTAATGAAAACTAGAAGACCCTAGAACAATAAGGAGCTTAGGAAATGGCTTAGCTATAGCTGTAAATGCTGTTACATAGACTCACAATAGGATGAGAAAGAGTGTTTGTCCTTAAAACTGACTAAGCGGGATGGAAGGAGAGATTGACATTCGTTGAATCACCAGCAAACACATGCAGCAGGAAAGACTCAGTACTTGTTTTAAATATGCGGAAAATGATATTACCAACATCACGAAAAGGGAGAGGGAATTGGAGCTATATGAAACAAAATTGTGGCGTAATCTTGATATGACTATGGACAATAAATTGTGTCTGAAACACTGTCTATTAAACAATGCTGTTTCACTTTGTGATAACTTTTATAAACAAACCGTGTAACCCATGTGGATTACATCCTATCACAGTGCTCAAGTTTTACTCACGTAGAAAGTTGTTAACGAATTCAAATGATCTCAGCAACCTTGTGTACATCCATGCGGAAGGCAATGAGGCACACCCCTTGTGTGAGGGTTAATGATACTACCTGGTTGCATAAACCTCAGTAGGTGAAGTGATGTTCGTATTTGCGACTCATTGGTTGAAAGCCAACTACCTAAACCAGTCAAAACAATATCAGTCACTGGGGTCCAGGTATACCCAGCTGATAAGTCCCAAATAAGACGAAAGGATAGTCACTATCAAGTAGACCTTACAACATATTAAATAATCAGGTAATATCTTGGTACCCGCATAGGAACCGATATGCCAATAAACTTCCATCAGTTTGATCGGGAATAACAAGCGGAAATTACAAGTATCAATAAATAATAATCTGACGATAGTTAAAAGAATCCCCTAGTCCAAGGTAAGCAAGGAACTATGCCAAAATGTGCAGCTACTTATATATCTGGGTCAATAATTGAATTAAACAAGTCACTTTCCACAGAACATTTATTTTAGAAATTAATGAATTTATATGAACTAAAAAATAATCTACCTCCTTCAGTAATTTATTGTGCTGAGTAAACAAAATTAGTGTATTATGTGTTAAATATCATCTTTTGCTTACCATAATAATCATTTATCATTAGTTGTATAATCAGTGTTTACTGGCAAATGGAGGACGGCGACCTCGTGTGTGTTTGTGTATATGTGTGTTAGTCACCCAAATTGTTTAAGTAAAGGTGAGACTGGGTCATTCTTGGTAAAAAAAAAAACTAACACTTCTTCGTACCATATGATACATATATGATTGTGCTTTGTTTTATACAGAATTCTTCTGTTCACTTATTTTCACCTGAGCTAAGATCACTAGCAAATTGACTGAAACTTCAGTCTTACAAAATAATCATCTTTATTATGATAACTCATAACAAAATATTTTATGGTATAATTTTTGACCGGAATGAAGGAATTGCATTTCTTACTAATATATAAAAAAATCATGAATCATTATGTCTTTTTTAAACAAGAAATAACAGACAAAATCTGCAAACTATTTGCGACAACGTTTGTCAAAATACTAATTAGTCTCTATCGATTAAAAAAACCCAAGTTATAAACAATGCATTCAATAGGACTCAAAATGCTGTAATATGAGGCATTTTTGAACATCCGAAGAATTAAAACAGGACCACATTGTTGACTCGGTGTTGCAGGATAAAGCGTTGGCTCTGTTAAACATGCAGTTGTACAAAAATCATGGAGTACCTGTTACAAATTACCTTCGCTTTCATTTAAAAGTAATAATTGAAAACCAAGATGATAGCGAAAATACTTAACAGAATTACATAATTATTACTATTTATTGATATACTAGTAATTCTCCGTTGTTATACTGGATCGAATTGTTCGACCTCCATTCTTACATGGGTTCATATATGGAT